ATATTGCAACAGAGAAGTAAAATTATGTATATGGATGAACCAAATCTTGTATGCATCAGCATTGGTAAAATTCGTCTTTTATTTATAAGATGTGTATTAAATAGGCCCCTTTATATGCAGGTTTTTACTTTATATTATATAGTACATAGACGAATGTATGATTAAGGGTAATAAAACAGAATTACTATGTGCCAACCTCTCATCATATATCAACTGAAACAAAGAAAAACTGAATAACACAAAGGACTAAGAATATCCTCGAACGGATTCCTGAAAAAGCTAAAATATTGCTACACATTATTTAAAGTTTTAATTATTTGTTTTATTGTAACTACCTTTAGAAATACTTTCTTTTTATTTTTTCTGTTGTAACGGTTCTAAGTATATATTGTCACATCTTTGTTGCACTGCCTGCAGCACTGACCACGTAATGGGCGACGTAATTATTTAGGAAACATATCGATTTTTATAATTATATGCATACATACCGTTGCATATGTGTATGAGAAGAATTCTTTATGTAATATTTATTGTTATGATGGCACTCCTTATGGTGATTAGGTTTTCTGCAATGCTTTTGCATTATGTAATTTATATTTTAGACGTCTCTTTCGGATAGGAGAGTAATGAAAGATTGCAATTTTATAATGCGTTCCCAGGGTCCTCACATTTATTTGACACTTATAGAATCTGTGGACATCTATGAAAAGACACTAGAAATAACAGATATGCATGTATGTATAACGACGTTTTCCATTCTGCATATCGTTAAATATAGTAAATTACGGAGGAACATACAGCATTCTTCCTTTGGAAGCTCTAAGGGAATTCAAATTATCCCTGTGAACTGATGGTTCATGAATTTCTAGAGACATAAGAAAGATGGTAGCGCAAGGAATACACATAATTATCCTACGTCTATACATTGCTATCATCTATCGATAACAGTCTATGTATTTTTGAACTTTTTACACTTTAGCATGGAACATATACCCAGGGATATACATACATATATGTATATTTTTTCTTTGCTATATGTGGGATTAATTCATGAGTCATAAAAATAGGGAGTGTTAACCTCGTGAATTATGATGCCCCTCTGGCGTCCTAAAAAGGGGGACTATCGAGGGACACAAGCGGAAGCAAAAAGGATGATACGGAGGGTACACATTTTTACGCAAACAAACAACATAGTTACTAGTATATGCGAATTCAGATGAGAGCATTGTTCATTTGGCATAAAAATGTGCCCCCCAGGATTACACGATTGTTCATGACATGTTTTATCTATGCATATATAGAGGGAGTATTGGATTGTTGAAATTGAACTGGTATAATATGACTTCTAATTTCATATGAAATTTTAATTGTATATTGCATACAATTGAAAGGGCACCTATAGCATTTAAATGTGTTCACGCCTCTCTGTGAAAAGTGCTATGAATTCGATGGAGCAAAGATATCCAAATGCCCTGGGGTACTATATACATTTTATAATAAAGGCAGGAAACAATACAGAAGGAAATGATGGCGAGACGATTGATATCAAGACACTATTAGGTCATAGGGAAGAAATGATGAAAAGGATTATAGAAACAGCGGCTGGCTTAATGAAGGCAAGGACCAAGGGAGCCACCCGCTAAGTATGTATCTCAGAAACAGCGTGTGCCCCACAGGGAAGCAGAGGGTATAGAACAGAGAACATCCAAAAGAGGATGGAAACCAATCGAATAACCTAAACAGGCAAGAGAAGATTCTTCTTAGACAACGGGCCAAAAAACCAGAGAGGCCTGGAACAGTAATCGACAACTACTATCCCACTGCAGTGATAAAATAATGTATCCAGGAGCCCCAATGAAATTCCTAATGAACAAGCTGCCTCAGAACAGAAAAGACCAATATAAGATAGAAGAGGAAGATTAGATTCACCTTCGTTGATACGCCCCCCCCGGAGTCATATAACAGAAAGACATACGAGCACCTTATAAGTCGGCAACCATAGAAGAGTCCCTAAGAAAGAAGAGGCGCAAAGGGGGCGAAGAAAGTGAGTACTCCCTGAATAAAACAAATCCCAAAGCATTATGAGAAGCGCTTCATTAAGGCTCGCTTAAAAGTAAACAATACGTGAATACCGCCCATCATGTTCCAGAACCACCAATTCAGTAATCGGACAGGCAGATAACAACTCCCTACTTAGACTAAGCCGTGCCAACTGTCTGAAGTTGCGAAGAAAAGGAGAGGATCTAGGAGTAGAGAGGAGGCAGTACAGGAGGCTAAACAGCAGACTACCGCCCGTCAGGGCAGGCAAGAATAGCAGTACCAATGAAGATGACTCAGATTCCTAAAGGTAAGATTCACATCCGTAATGAAGACAGGGAAAACCCCTTAAAGAACTAGGAACTGGGAATCTTCCCTGCCCCTCATTAGAGAAAATGCCGAGAGTACTAATCATAGTTCTGAAGGAGGAACAGATCCCAATAATACCCTAAAGAATAAAGAAGTAACAACAGGAGTCACTAGAAGTAACCGCAGAACAATTGGCGGAGATCTAAGAGTATGAAATAATGATAACACATGAGGGAAAGGAAGAGAAGAATAAGAAGAATCAGAAGATTAAGAAAAAGCACCCGAAGATGACTAAGGAAGATCAAGGTGTCAGGGTCGGCAGATGACATATGATCAAGTTATTCTAATTTGAAATCGCGGCAAGACAAGTCAGTTAATTCCGCAGCCGAAGGATCAAGGAAGACTGCCCTAACTCCTCAGACAATGTTTCAGGAGAAGTAGGAATGGAGCTATAAGAAGCATGACACTAAGGCACATTGAGTCCCACCCTTTGAAGTGATAACACCAAAAAGAAAGAATTATAATATTACAAGATAAAGAGAATTACGAGAAGAAATAGAAGAAACTAATCCCAAATCTCATGCAATCTGTAATACATAACCCTGAAACAAACATTCGGGGGCTAAGGTTCTCTTCTACTGCGAAAGCCGTGGAACGAATACGACTCCCGACAAAGGATGCCCCCAAGAAATTAACATACAGAGGCTTAAGTGGGCCACCAGAGGACAAAAACTGGAGAACATCTAGGTACTTCCCCTAAAACAGATGAGATAAATTATTACTGAGCTCAGGAAGATATCAAGAGTGAAACAGAGGATATATGGATCACTACAAGATATGCAAGTACCAGGCCACAACTGAAAAGTACCCCGAGATAGGAGCCACAAAGGAGCCCCACGAAGGAAGATCATGTTTTTTTTCCCCCGGAAAATGAGAACAATCCCAAGGGCAAATGAACAAAAAAAGGATCCAGTGAAGTAACAGAACAATTGAGGCTAAGCTACCACCGTGAAAAATTACGGACAAGGTTAGCCCAAGAAGCTGTCGAAGGGAAGAACATAGTCGAGGCCCAGGAAGCCAAATACAATAAGGGAAGATAAATTTCGAACAACTTGAGAACAAGGTTAAGACGGAATATCAACCATGGTAACGTGTGAAAAAACAAAACAAAAAAAAGACGAACGCCTCGGGGCTTTTAATGCAACAGTAGATAACAGATCCCCGGAAAACAAGACTCTCCCAGGAAACCCCAGAGGAGATCTCCTGAATAGCCTTATCCCGAGGTCTGACCTAAGACTAAATCGTCTAAACTGGACACACCCAACATCTGGATATACATAGCCTTTACATTGATTAAGAAATTACAATTGAACCTCTTGGGGACCACAATTCCAAACTCCTTCATCAGATTCCAAAGATACCATAACCACCAACGAAGGGGCAAAAACAGCCCGGCTTCAAACCTTAGACGCCTAGGGAGTTCACTGAGAAGATTGGTGGTATTAAGAAAAAACGGGAGCCCAAGTTCACTATACCCAGAAGCTGAGGCGCCCCCAATACATTTCTGCCAAGGAAGGCAGTAAGTATTACTGATATATTTACGAAAAGAATAAACACCGGGATCTCAGCTTAGAGGGGTAAGGGGAAAGTGAAAGGACAAATAAAGTAGCCTCAACTTCCTGGGAAATGTATTATCAGTACAACTCGAGGAGCATGTACGTCATCTCCACAACTAGGGAGCTAAAGTCTGAAATTTCAGGATTAGCTAAGATAATATATCAATAACAAAAACTCTATTGTTAGTAGCAGGAAAGAATAAGAGAACATCTAAGTGGATGAATAAGATTCTGATTCCCTGACCCTGGGCAAACGTCGCTATAATGAAGAAAACTCCCCATCAAGCGCATGCTTGGGCACAGGAAACTGACAGGGAGAGAAAAGATACTGTACAAGCCCACCGCTTTCTTTTCTTAAAGGCAGCCCGCCTGGCTCTTCTTCCCTCAGAGACGAGGAATTATTATGAAAGAAGTTACTTCCCGTGATTTTTCCAGGACGTTAAAATTCTTCCCCCCCCCAGAGACTCCTAACGGCCAAAGAATTCAGATGGAATACAAGTCACAACAAGCGAAGTATGAGGCTGCCAAATGAGATGAAGTGTCAAAAATAAGAAGAAGGCTTCGTCATTGAGATTGACCCTTGATCAAGGATAATATAAACCTTTCCAGTGGACGAAGGTAAAGGGTAGTATCCCAAGTGAGGAGAACTAAACGACAAAAGAACAGGAAGGAAAGAATTAGGCCGAGTCTCCCGACACTGCCAAATCCAAACCAAGACAAGCCCAGAGCTCACTGTCCCAGAAAAGGGATGATGAATAACTAAGGATTTAGTCTTTAAACAGGGCAACATCAGAGAGCTGGAGTCCGTAGGTTTAGCAGGACAAAGGGTCTGAGAATGATTAGAACCGGAAGGAACTTCAACTCCAGGGACGCAACAGATGACATTTAACAAGCATCCTAACTTCGTCCAAGAATAAGTTCAGGCGAATAATATATGCCAAATCACCCCCCTTTACAAAAGGGACCTAACAACCCGACCCCAAACGGGCTTTAAAGGATTAAGAAACAACACGCCTCCTGTAGGGAAGGTAGATTGTGAGAGAATCCGATTAAATTGTATCAGAAACATTTGGTAACTAACAAAGAAGCTGAGTTAAAAGAGAGCAATTCCGAAGAATAAGTGCAAGGATTACACAGAAGGAACAAGGGATTAACTGCACATAAGCTGCATGCCACTACCCGTTATGTGAGATCCAGGAATAGTGTGGACTAAGATTAAATAGCCCGCAGGAAGGCTCCGGAGGGTTTAAAAAATAAGGAGAGTCTCTCCTAAAAACAAGTTCCACGCCGTCGCTCTGATAAAGAAAGACAGAGCGCGCCATTATCCGCCCCCGGATTCGTGGTGACAGCTGAACAAGTATCAACTCATTCGTAGAAAAGGAGGAAAAACTCCTCCAGACTTTAGAATGGAATCAGGGGAATAAAGAAAAAAATAGCCAAGAAGCAAGCCTTCCAGGTTCAAAAAATCGTGTGGGGGGAAAACTCAAATAGGAGAGAGGTAAAGGAAGTAAGCACCCCCGTCAGGAACAGAGGACCCAACTCCTATAAAAGGAGGGAATTGATATGATAAAGGTGATAGCTTTTCCCTCATCACCCCGACCAGCAGAAACAAGTGATTAGGAGTTATTAGTCAGGATCTAGCGAAGGGATGATGACAAAATTCATGAGTAAGAAAGAGGCTACCAAGACGCGTCTTTCAATCCCCAGTAAGTGGATTACTGATTAAGCCCAAGATGCTGCATCAGGAGACAAACGAAAACCGAAGTAGCGGGAGCTGACTCCGAGCAGTCCCAACAGGAAAGACTTCACTGGAAAAAACCAGGAAAGTAAAATTAGAATCTCATCAAAGTGGAACAACATGCTTTAGGAACGGCAACCCAGGATCAATCTATGTAGGGGATACGACACCTTAGTGGAATTTAGATAGAGGACTTAGTTACCAATGAATGGGCCCAATTTCTCGAAAAAGCCTAGAGTCCCCTAAACCTGTATCTTAATGAAGAGGAGGATCCTAGAAAAGGAAGGATACGAAATTTCTTATTTACCTCCCCATAGGGTGAAAACCCTGAAGGCCCTAGGGCGTTTCCTCAGCAAACATACAGAATCCAAGCCGGGACAATGACGGGAGCGGTGGAGAATGAAGAATGGAGGATAGGTTCGTGGGTCAAAAACGAGGCTTATCTATGGGGGAGCAAGTACCCCCCCAGCTTAGATAAAAACTGTAAGTCGTCAACCAAGTATTGTTATCCGAACCTTACCAGACAAGGAGACTCAAGATGGAAAAATTTGCACGACTGGATCTCGAGGAAGATGTTAGAAAAACATCGCTATCAGTGGGGAAAAGAATTTGATCCAACAGTCTTAACAGGCATAGGGGGGAAAAATTCACAAGGAGGTCTAGACTGGGGAGACATCATTAATAAGGTTTTGAATCGAATAGAAGGATTAGCTCCCGTTGCTCGCAATGGGAGAAGCAATTCTCTAAGATGGACCAAGGAAGAATGGGCCGAAGCATTCAAGCATCAAATCCCACTAGACACTCCGCTGGACAAGTTTGAATCAGGCAAGGCGATGTTATTCGTGATAATGTGTATAGTCACAGGTTTGATTGAGGGCAGAGCAAAGGAGGGGAAAATCTTTAAGAGAAGAGGAAGGATGTGTAGCCCAATAGATACTACTTTGCAGTTTCGCGTAAAGGATTGGGAGGCATGGATAAAGAACAGCGATGATATAAGGAAAAATAGAGCAAATCAATGTTCCCAACAGGCTGGGTATGACGGATGTCAATGGGCAGCAATAGCTTTAATTTTGAGTGTGTACGAGTCCATGACGAATATCTGCAGTCAATGTGGTCCATATGAAGTGAGTTATTGGATAAGCAAAGATGACAGGACGGGCGAAGCAAGTGACATGCAATATTGTGTGTTTAACGACCAAGGAATAAATTGTCAGTCCTTAGGCTCCAAAACAGAAGCTGGAAAGATGATAATAATAAGGCCCGGTGAGCTGGATAAGATCACAAGAAGCCAAGTCTTTGACAGTGGAGATAAACAACGTGCGTCTTTCGAGGCCCAAGAAAATAGTCAGAAGGAGATGATAACTTACACTACGGAACAGGGCGCCAGCAGTAGCAATGGAGTCCCTCAAACCCAAGATGAAGGTCCTACGGAGAGACTCCCGTTACATCAAAAGAGCCTTAAAGATCTCTCCTCTTGTCCGTCCCCGAATCCGGAGGGACGAACGCCTTGTATGAAGATCATTGAGAAGTCCCCCCTAGTTCCTAAGACAGAAACCCCCTTAACACCAGAAGTTGAAGCGACGCCCCAGCAAAACTTGGAACACGCGGCTAAGGATCTCAGAAGGGAGCCACCTGAGGCAAGTGACCCTCTCCATCGTGTGGATGAACCAGCATCTGAAGAGGCCGCGGGGAATCCCTTATGGACAAATTCGACACCCTTCGTTTTTGGAAGTGGCCCCCCCTGGGCGATAATCGTCGGTTTGGGCGCTGTTGTGTGTTTAGGCATAGGAGGGGGTTATGGTTTATGGAGGACCTTCGGTCGTCGTAAACGGGCACACGCTTGCTTGAAGCGGAAGAAAGTCGAGGAAGAATATAAATTAAAGTATGGGGGAGGGTTTAGGGTTCGGGGTTTTGGGATGAGAAATGACCCATACTAAAATCACCTCCTCCCCAAGAGAACTTGATATCGTCGTCGACAAACTAGAACCAGACCATATGTCTGCAACTGGGTGCACTAAGGAGTTATGTCCCCTATATGATTACCCTACCACCATATGTTAGTTATCCCCCGAAGGATATGTTATGTCCTCAACTGTGTTCAGATTAAGTCTACATTGTGTTAAAATGTGTACCTTCTTCTGTTTTATTAGTCTATTTGTCCATTAATTATTAGTGAAGCACTGACTGTATGGTTGTTAGAGGACTTAGATTGTCCCAAGTGAGATCGTCAATAGAAACATTCTATCACCATAATTATAGATGAGGAAGCGTCTATGTCAAGAAAGAATGGATCTATGGGTCAGTCTATCGAATGAACCAATTTTGACCTGGTCTGTGTTGGGATGTTCCTTCCTTCTAAGAAGTGGTACCAACAGGGTGACCCATAGACACCCAACAGGGGTCCGATTTCGGACATAGAGGAGTTGTTGTTTTATCCATTTGTTTTGCTTTGTCCTACCGGAAAAAAAGGGCCACCCTGTGATTTAAAACATTTCGATATAATGCAGGGGTTACCATAATATATATATATCTGCTGGTAGGATGAAACAGGGATGCTGACAAAATTGGTGGTATCCTTTCTGATGGGTTATATGATGATCACTACTTAGGGAAAGACAGGCCTGTTCCTAAAATACCATATTTCTAAATGTTCTTTTTCCATTTCAAATTTGATGAATCCCGTCTCGCAATGATATAACAAGAAAGTTCCTTCTCTTTCCATCCTACTAAGAATGCCCTCAATTCTTTCAATAAAACATACATTAATTGTTCTCTCATTGGAGCAATAGATATGGCAAAAAAATGGAATAACTTTTATTTACGTTGATAAATGAATGATAAGCGATTTTGTAATTACAACTTTACGGCAGACTGATCCCATATGTAAGTAGTGGACATCCTGGTCTTCGAGAATGCTGTGGTACTTATATCTGCTTGCTCTGTTTTTTTTCTACCGTTAACTTATGATTTTCTCTCTAAGGATATTTTATCAGTGTGTGATTCCTATTGCGGTGTCTTGAGTGGGTTGTGGCCTGTTTCATACAAGAGCCTCCCGATGAGGATGATCATTTTCTATAAATTCCACGTTTCCGTGTGTCCGATAGAAAAGTGTCGCCCAATTTAGTAGGTGCAGGGGAATACAGAATGTGATATGCCATGTTTATCAGTAAATAAAACAGATGGAGAATAATGTTTTTCGGCTTCTTCCGTATGTGTCTAGGTTGTTATGTATAACGAGTATTTAAGAAAGCAAATAAGGGGACTACTCTCAGGAACCCTCTGAGAGGATTATTACAAATAAAGGATTTCGCATTCCGCATTCCAACATCCCTTCCTCTTTATATGTTACGGAAAATTTATCCACCCCGACATTCAACACCAAGGGGGCATAGAAACGTAGATGAAATATTTCGCGGCCTCCAGATATGTTCCTCAGAGGATGAGTCGAAATTGGTGAGTTGCTGTTGACAGGTGTTTCGCACTCCAATTGTGCCCAACAATGGGGTTGATTATCTTCCTAATTTGTTGACTATTTCACTTACCTGATGTCCATGTCTCTAGAAGTACGTGTCCCCTTCGTTTTCCCGGTACGAGTCGTTCGCATCTTCCTGTACTTGGTATTTATCAGAGTTTTCTCAGGTGTTCTCAGGTCTTCTCACGTTAGGGCATGCATATGAACATCATTGCAATATAACATGTAAGTATGCGCGTTATATTTTGCCTTTGAAGCTGTTCTGCTCCAGGTACGTCATTATCAGGCTCGTGTGATCTCTCCTATTATTGTTCGTTCGTCTCCTCCTATAGGAGGCCACTTAATGTCTGCGCTTTATACTCAATGTTTTTTCTTCTGAACATCCCCAGAAAAATTCTGTGTGTATCTGCTATATTTGAGGCCGTTTCCATATTTTGTTTGTTCAAACGGTTTCCTATGTGGCCCCTCATGTACAACTTCACGTGTTGTGAATCCTATTGCTCTTTACATCCATCCAGAAGCATCATGAATAGTGGTATCGGCAATTCCGTATGTATTTCTTCATCTGTAAGTACACACACTTCGTGGATATGCTCCTCTCGTTTTTCTTTATGGCATCTTGTCCCCAACGTGTTATCGATTGTCTCATATATCACATGCTCGGCTGTTTTCTTCTGGTAGACCCTTATAACTTTCTAAAAAGAACTATCTGGAATATATCGTCTCATACGTATGTGTTGTTTTGAAACCTAATTGCTACAGACACTCCCTCGCCCCTGTAGGATAAGAATATGTGTTTCCTGGTTAAATTGATTGATTGTAGACATTACAATTTCCTGAACGCATTGTTCATCCATTATGCGTCCTTTCTGTAATCTGGGGAATTAATTGTTCTGTTTAAACATATCAAAAATATACGAGTATTTATGTTCGAAACTATCCCACTGATGTTTTTGTAATTGCAAATCACTACAGTTGTGTGCATCCATTCTGGTTATCCTGCTCTGTTAAGTAATTTCACCTATCACACTTTTATTTATCATAAATTTGTGAACCACTACTTGGAGGAAATGTTTCTTGGTAAATTTGCATTCTTCCTTTTTGATTCATCTAAAAGTTCTGTATGTATATATAGAATCTTCTACGGAACGTTTGTTTTTCATTTTGCATGTATACACTCTTTTGGATGTCTTAATTACATATTAACTATTCATATTCAGGGTCGTGCAGTTGTACTTCGTCACTATCATATCATATATCCCTTTTCTTTTCGCAGTTATGGCTACACATTGTTGTCTCTATGTGTACTCATCTTCGGGATCTGCGTCTTTCTTATTTGGAAGCAAACAGGGACTCTAGCAGCTATATTGCGCCAGGAGTAGTTATCAAAAGGGGTTAGCTTCAGTTTTGACCCATCGCTTAAGTATTGACCATTGCGCACTAAATTATATTTTTCCCCTGCGCATACATATACATATATCTATACTTCCATAAGAAAGGTAACCTCAGTAATCACACCCGGGATTGTTAAAATAATAGCTGACACCTCAATAAAGGCAATAGCATCATTATGTAGTGTCGGTGGGGCTATGACGCGTGTTGGGTATCGTCAGGATTGCCAGTTCCCTGTCCCAAAAGTCGTAAGCATAAGAACAGAGGGCGGAGCATCCGTAGCCCTTATAAGGACATTATGTACTCCCCAAAGCGCAGAATTTATGTGTGGTGGGTTTTGACAGATTTGAATAAACTGATAGGTAAAGCACAAACGCTGGTGGATAAAATAGACTGAACCTACTAGGAAAGGGAAGAGGAGGGCGATACCCGTTGGGTAATATCCGCGGCTTAGGAATTTGATGCGGGACACCTCCAATCTGCACGTACAAGAACATCAAATTGGATAGTTCGGATCGTAAGTACACCTTCCCAATGTTTACTTATTTTACATTTATATTTTCCGTGTGTATACCCAGTGTCATTGCTTTCAACCTTTCAACACTGAGAACTGCAGTAGAAGTTGATATTGATGCATTCTTTCCTGCCGCGGAATTTGATTCCTGACGGAGCTACCACGTTTGAGATGTGCACTTAAATATTTCAGAATCCTCACCGGTGCTCTGACAATTTTTCCATGGGTGACGTCCTCTCATTTGGGGTGACAAGATTTCACGGAAGTTTTGAATAATAACCTAGGCGTTGAGAAATATTGTCAGATAGAGTAACTGCTGCAAAGTTCCGTTCGGATGAAGATGTATCAATAGTTGCTGTTCGTATAAGATTTTTATTCCGTATAAGGGTTTTTAGCGTATGCAGGCACTGTGTTCCTTTGTGCCGAAGTAATGAAAATCGCAGGAAGAATCCTTTTCATTCAGGAGTCAGGTACGAAGAACGTGTACACATGCCAGTTCGCACAGTATGGACAACAGTTCTACGGTTTTCATTAGACCTTTCCTTATTGTTTCATATAATTAGTCAGGATTCAAAGAAGAACCAGAACATGTAGTGATGGTCAAATAGGTGATCAAAGAACCTAACATATTCACATAAGACATGTCCCTGGGGTGTTCTTGGGGGGTGAAAGTTGTGATAGGACATTTATGAAATAGTGTGTGAAATCACCTAGCATATTGTTTGAATGAACACGTTCGATGTGTGTCTCATTATCGTCGTACGCTCCCTTACTATTATTCAGGTGGGTAGGAAATCTAGTTTTATATACCTCGCATGGACTTCTCCGTGTCCAATGCTACGTCCATAATATCGGTTAAAGGTAAATATTCTGAACTAATAATTCTGCCTATATTACATTGTTTATTATATTGACCTTTTTGTTTTACATCACATTGTCATCCCTGATATGTTCCGCGCTGATTTGTGCATATTCTGGAAGATCATGTAATAAATACATATTGTCTTATGAAAGAAAAAATTCAGACATTGCGACGATGTCCTAAAGAAATAGGTGGAATAATGGTGTGGCTATGCATATTATATTTGCTAGGCCAAAAAATACAGTTTCGGAGAAGTCTGCACTTTAGTTCGCTACGTTTTCAGATCTGGAAAAGAGCTTGTTTTTTCGATAAAATAATAACAATCAAATTAGGAACATAGGTACTGTTTCTAAACCCGTCTTATATTAATAAAGTGTGGGGAGGAGGCGGCCATGCCGATTAAAGTTATCCCCTTGATCATGAAATAGGGCGTAGCCTCTTAGTTACTCTACTATAAACGGGTAAATTGAAATTGAAAGGCAACTGCCAAAAGGAACAAGAGAAAAAAGAATTGTAACATTATACGGTACTTCCCATGTCTTGATACGACATGTGGTAGAACTCAACGGCTTCAAATATCACATATGGATTTATCAGGGACTGTAATATATAACGTTAATTCACACACAATCGCGGAATGAAATGAAGATACCGCATATAAAGCGCCTTGGTAGTCCTAGGCTAAACATGGGTTTTT